ATTTTGCCACAAACTAGGAAAAAAAATTCCTTCTTGACCCCAAAATAGCAGTCAGATGTCTCCTTGGATCAAGCAGCTATTACCCCACTAATTAGAAATTATATCCCTGTATGTTATGTTTTTGTAAGTATTTATCCAATTGCAGTTTAAACCTCTCTAGTGACTCTGACAAAACCACCTCGTCAGGCAGAGAATTCCATATCCTTATTGCTCTTACTGTAAAAAAACCTTTTCTTTGCCTTAGATGAAATCTCCTTTCTTCCAGCCTAAATGTGTGACCTCGTGTCCTATGTATATGTTTCCAGATAAAGGTTTGTACTGGCCCTGAATATATTTGTATAAAGTTATCATATCCCCTCGCCGTTTTTCCAAACTAAACAGATTTAATTTTTTTTAACCTTTCTTCATAACTAAAATGCTCCATTCCTTATATCAATTTTGTAGCTCGTCTCTGGACTTTTTCTAGTGCCATGATATCTTTCTTTAGAACAGGCGCCCAAAATTGCACAGCATATACACAGTCATTGGCACACACATACCAACCAACACACACTTTCACTGACAGACACACACTGACACACCCACTCACTGTCTGGGAGCTTGGGGTGCCATTTTTTGGCGCTCCCCCTGAAAGTGCCGCCTTAGGCAAATGCCTTGCTTACTTTGTGGTAAATACATCCCTGGGTACACATATATAAAAATTGCCCTGTCTCTATTGAAGACTCATTTTGTGACTAATGTGTGTTGCATTTATTTTCTCAACTTTTTGAAAAATATGAATTTTACGATGGAAATCCGAATCATGGTTTGATACTCAAAATAAATCAGATTTGCGACTTGTGAACATAGAAGCAAACAATAGTATTGTTGGTGTCTCTAATTTCAGATGTTGGTATCCCGACCCAGGTAGAGTACAGGAGCCTGCCAACTGACTACAGCTGAGGGCTAAAGGTCTCTGCAAATTTTCCATCAAACAATAATGGAGGAATGCCAGATACAAAAAGTACCCAAAGATAATGTTTTATTGTTACATTCATAATTGTATTTTGCCAGCTGCTGAACAAAATTGCTATTTCCTGAGAATTAACATAAAATCTGTTTCCAGAATTAAATGTTCTTATTTACACTGGTAAAAACATACTCAAATAGTTTTGTTACAAACTATGATTTAACCCTTTGTATGAGAGACTTGTATTTCTATCAAAATTTTCTATTAGTTGCAAAGTATTTCTTTACTTTACATAACATTCACATGTCAGAGCTTTGCATTCTGCAGTTTAGGAGTTAAGCTTTCTCAGACCTGGCTCTAGAACAGGAATTTCCCACCAGTGAACAATATGAAGTTTTAAAAATAAAAAAAAACCTCTAAAAATAAGATTTTGATATTTTGTTGCACTTTGCGTTTGGACCAATATTTTTCTTCGTCTGCTCCACCCTTTTACAGTTTGCTCCCTTTCTGACAATTTTGTCCTGTTCCTTGATTTCGTATTTTTTTTTTATTCCTTATTTATGTTGTGCATAATGATACAGAAACTTGCCCAGCCACAACAGCTATTGTAGGGTAACGTAAAACATGAAATACCAATTTTATTACAAGGCACGGAGGCTCACATTGCATATACCTTTCTTTACTGTCCACAAATAGCAGCAAAGAATACAAAACAGAATAGAAAATAATGCATACATAGTAACATAGGCCACTGCCAGCCAAGTCCCAGTATGATAGCAGGCACCACCCTCAGATCTCCCTCTTTCTTTGCTGCTTCACAGTCAGATAAGTATCTAATTTCCTCTGTTCTGTGGGTCTTTGTTGTAATGTGGTAATTTGTTATTATTTGCTGTTATATTACATGTATTTTCAATCTATATTTACTATGTTTATGGTAGACTCGGGGTCCCAGACCAGCTGTAGGCTCTTTTGACCGGTGTGGGGGTCTTTTGTTGTACCCCTGTACTTTCTCACTTTCCTCTATATCTTTCATCTCTACTTGAGGTTTCTGTTTTTGGTACGTACTGTCCTGTTCTGCTCTGTTTCCTTTGGTGCCCCTGTGTTTTCCCTCTGTTTCTGGGGCTTTTGGAGTTTCTAGACTGTTTTGGCGCCATTTGGTGCCCTTTTTGGCTCCTTTTTGGCTCCGTGTGGGGTTGGCGTTCGGCAGTTTGCTTTTACGAACGCCTGACATGCTTGTTTCGTGGCCGCGTTCGATTCGCGATCGCTATTTCGCATTTGCGGACTTGCAAGCCGAATGCACCCGTTTGGTAATAGTTTTTGAACGCGTTTTCAGGATTTTTGCCACCCACGAGTCTTGCGAGCATTGGGGACTGTGCTTTCCTTCCGGTTCTTCTTTCCTCCCCCTCCTTCGTTTTGACTTGCCTGCCTCGTGTAGTTACTGATGGTCTGCGCCCTGGTGAGAACTCTCCTATTTACCTTTTCCCCTGGTTTTGTTTAGTTTGGGTGATTAACCCTTACTGTGCTGATTACTTTACAGCTGTTGGAGTGTCAGTAAATATATATTTCTAACTTTAGTGTCAGTCATTGTATCATGCCTAAACCTAGGTTGCCTACCTGTTCACCTACCACTGGGGTGATGGATACCCAACGAGCCCTGGGGGAGAACGTTGGTGGACCTGTCTGGCCATTATGGCGGCCATGGGGTCCATGTCATCAGCCTTGTCTCAAACCATCTCCAAGGCCCTGCTTGCACGTCTGGCAGACGATCCATTTACTGGCTCCATGGCTCGCCACATGCGTCTGGCAGTGGATGCTTTAAGTGTGGCACCCAGCAAGGCCAAACATACCTCCACTTCTGCCTCCAGAACCCCTATAACTGGCATACCTTTGGTCACTCCAGAAAGCGTGTCCCTTCCACGCAAGAGAGCCTTTCCGCACCAGGCAGAACGGGCGTGCCGATGGAAATGTGCGAGAGCACAAAAAGAGAGCGACTCCGATTAAGAAATCGGGTTTAGTGAGAAGGCTGGTGTGGAGTCTGACAGGGATACAGCTGAGTTGGGCCATGACCTCTTTTTCTCCGCTCAGGTGCAGGCGACGACCTTGGGGCAGCTACTCCCGTGGACGAGGGGACTGCCCTCATGGGCCCGGTGGGCGAGCCCTTATTCGACCCGGATGTGCCTCACCACCTGAGGTCTGCTGAGTGGCTCCCTGTGGACCATGTGGCCCGATACCTTAAGAACTGGGTTTGGCGCCCACTCAGCAAGGCGGCCGGCAACAAACTAAGGGCGGAGTGTCCCAGGCCTGTTGTGCCTAACAAAGTATGTGACACCCCAGAGGTAGACCCTAAGATGACCCAGTTTCTGGCTAAATTGGGTTGGAACCCACGCAAAGGGCTGGATTCGGCACTTAGATCGTGCCAAGACAAACACCTTGATGTGTTTGGTCCACTTGCGAAATTGTTTGACTTGGCGGAGGACACCAGAGCTGAAAACTGTATGGTAGACCCAGAGGAACTTCGTGGTTGAGTCCAGAGAGCGATTTGGGAGTGTCAATGCCTTCCTATCCATGGAACGACGTAAAGCCATCCTGTTTAAAATACAGCCCAAATTGACTAATCTCACCCTCACGGAAGCTGGTAAAGTGTTATTATTTTGCAATTCCATTATTAAAAATCTGGGACGCTTCGTAGGGGCATTTACTGCCCTTGATAAGGCCCAATCCTCCATGAGAAGGGTATTCCAGGGGCAGGTCTCTACCAGGGCCGGCAGATTCAGAGGCCGCCTGGCCGGCCGCAACTATTTCCAGTCCTGTGGTACGAGACAAGGCTCTTTCCAACACCGCTCCAATTTCCAGGAGACGAGGACCCAGTCCCCCTTCTTCCCATCACGAGAGGTTTCCATGGACAAACCGGCTCCAGACACCCAAACAGTGAGTTTACACCTTTTTTTCATGTTGTGTAGGGGGCAGACTCCGTAATTTTTTCCCAGTTTGGTAGAAAATTACCTCAGACAGTTCAAGGTTTTCATATAGAAGTCGTGAGCACGTCTTGCGATATTCCAACCCCTCGGCCGATCTGTTTCTCACTCAGAGACCGCAGGTTGATCGACAAGGAATTGTCTCTCCTCCGCGACAAGGAGGCAATCGAACTGGCCCCCTCCGGACCCCGAAGGTGTCTTAAACAATATATTCCTAGTGGAAAAGAAAGTCGGGTAAATGCGTCCTGTCATCAATTTACACCCGCTCATTGCTATGGTTCGCTACCGCCATTTCAAGATGGAGGGCATCCATCTTCTAAGGGACCTACTCCTACATGGAGATTTGCTGGCAAAACTAGATTTGAAGGACGCTGATGGTGCTGGTAGCCGAAACCTCTCGAGATCTACTTCGATTCTGTTGGAACGACAGAGTTCGGCACTTTACAGGTCTTCCTTTTGGTCTCTCCTCTGCGCCCTGGCGCTTCACAAAGCTGCTGCACCCGGTGATGTCTGATCATCTACCTGGACGACATCCTGATCATGGCGCAGGAGCGCTCCATCCTCATCTGCGATGGACCGTGGACCTGCTTAGCCGTCTGGGGTTCATCGTCAACTGGGAGAAATCCTGCTTGTACCCATCCAGGCACATGGAATTTCTAGGTTTACTCGTGGACTCGGAAAAGGAATCGTTGAGCCTTCAGTCCTCCAAGATTCGGACAATTCGTAAGGAACTTTGCAAGGCTCTCCTCCATCCGTTGATCACCGTGCGTCACTTGGCACAGCTTATCGGCCTGCTGAGCTTGTCTATCCATGCGTTGTTCCCGGCCCCTCTCCATTACAGGGCACTCCAAAGGTTGAAGACAGCTCATCTGCGAGAGGGCGCGTCTTACACGGATCTGGTTACCCTGGATAGTGAAACGAGGGGCAAACTACAATTTTAATTTACTGAGTAAGTTATACTGAGATGTATAAATTTAATTAATTTCATTGTTTAATTAAGTTAATCTTGTTAATTACTTGTATTCTTCTAAAAATTTGTGTATGCATTTAGTAGCTTGACAAAGACCGTATAGGTAGAAATGTTGTGTAATGATATTGATGTTACAAAGTTTTGGAGTCCAGTAGCCAGATCAGCAATGTTTTCTGCCAGAGGTAGCCACTCGTTACCCAGGTGGTTGAGCCCCTGAGCCTTGAGTGGCCTTCTGGTCTTAAGCAGAGATGGGAGACTGGAACAGAAAGATGATAATCGTAGTGAGGCAAGCCGAGGTCAGTGGGAAGGAGAAGCAGCAAAGTCAAAACAGTCCAAATTCAGCAACAGGAAGGAGAAACAGGAACACGCTTGATTAGAGAGTACAGGAACCACAATAATCTGGCAAAGGTACAGAGACAGGAAGTGGCTTTTATAGGCCAAGAATCAGACACCTGACCAGACACAGCTGAAGAGAGTTGTCACTGATAACCTTGACTCTACAAGCAATGGTATAAGATCTCAGGTAAATTTGCAAAAGGCAGGCTGGTGTACTGGTAAGGAAAAGGTTTAGCACCATGTAAACCAGGGTTCAAACCCAGCAGAGTCAGTTCCTCACATTACCTCCACCTCTACAGGCGCAGCCTCTGGATGCCCTATTTCCTGGTTTAGCAGGGTACTGTGCATGGAAAGACTGAAGAAGATCAGGAGCATGAATATTGTCCACTGGTTCCCACGATCTATCCTCCTCACCATAGCCTTTCCAATGAACCAAGTATTGAAGCTTGTTGCGGAAGATCCTGGAGTCAAGAATTTTTTCCACCTCGTATTCATCTTCACCATCCACGAGGACTGGTGGTGGGGCAGGCAAGGCTCGACCAGGGAAAGTATTTTCATGAAAAGGTTTAAGCAGTGCCACGTGAAACACCGGATGTATTTTCATGGAATCCGGAAGTTGCAGACGGAAGGTGACTGCATTGATCTGAGCGATGATCTCAAAAGGTCCCATGAACTTTTGACCCAATTTATGAGAAGGAATCCTAAGCTTAAGATTCTTTGTTGACAGCCAAACCTTGTCACCAACATGATAAACTGGGGCCTCCTTTCTGTGCCTATCAGCAGCTATTTTGTAACATTCCTGAGCCTCCGAAAGAGTCTCCTTCAACAGTTCTTGGGAATCTCGTAAGGCGGTTAGCCGGTCAGTGACTGCAGGAATGGGAGTAGTAATTGGGAGACTCACTAGAAAGGTTGGATGGTAACCATAATTGGCAAAAAATGGGCTCAGAGAAGTGGAGCAGTGTTGGGCATTGTTATAGGCAAACTCCGCCGTGGGTAGAAAATCCAGCCAGTCATCCTGCAGGTAACTAATATAGCACCGCAAATATTGTTCTAAAGTCTGGTTGGTTCGCTCAGTCTGTCCATTACTTTGTGGATGAAAAGCTGAAGACAGATTTACATTAATACCTAGAATAGAACAAAAATATTTCCAAAAGTGAGATGTAAACTGCACTCCCCTGTCAGAAATTACTTCATCAGGCACTCCATGCAAGCGAAATATTTCCCGAATAACAAGGTCAGCAGTCTGTTTAGCTGAAGGGAGACCACGAGCTGGTATGAAATGACTCATCTTGGTTAACCGGTCCACAACAACAAGAATAGTAGTGTGTTCCTTAGAGGGAGGTAGTTCCACAATAAAGTCCATGGATATAGATCCCCAGGGACGATGAGGAATCGGAAGAGGCTGAAGCAAGCCAACAGGGGATGAGCGAGGAGTCTTATGTCTGGCACATACATCACAAGAGGACACATATTTCTTAACATCCTCATAATATTTAGGCCACCAAAAGGATCGGGTAAGTAGTTCTTGTGTCTTTCGGATTCCTGGATGACCTGCTGGTTTAGAGTCATGGTAGAGGCGTAAAACGTCCAGTCGCACTGATTCTGGAACAAACAGACGTTGTTGAAAAATCCAAAACCCATTAAGCATGGTCATATGAAGATCACGAGGAGGATCACGAAAAACTGGATCTTTAGAGTAGCCCTTTTTAATGCGAGACATTAGATCAGAAGGAAAGGTAACTCCTAAAAATCTGCTCTCCGGCAAGATGGTGGCCTTGGTTACTGTAGTATGGAGGGGGTCAGCTATCCTAGACAAGGCATCCGCCTTGCCATTTCTGGAACCAGGGCGGTATGAAATAAAAAAATTAAACCTTGAGAAAAATAGGGACCAGCGTGCTTGTCTGGCTGACAGTCTCTTAGCGGATTGGATACATTCCAGATTTTTGTGATCTGTGAGGACAGTAATTGGATGGGTGGCTCCCTCCAAGAGATGTCTCCATTCGGTGAAGGCAGCTTTTATAGCCAAAAGTTCTTTATTCCCTATGTCATAATTTCTTTCTGCTGGTAACATCTGGCGGGAATAGAAGGCACATGGATGTAACAACATCTTAGGTCCAGTCCTTTGAGACAGTATAGCCCCAACAGCTGAATCAGAAGCATCTACCTCTACAGTAAATGGCAATTCTGGCTGAGGATGTACCAAGATAGGGGCAGATGTAAACAGAGTCTTTAATCTGGAAAATGCAGTGTCAGCCTTATTGGACCACTGAAAAGGAGTCCCTTTACGTGTAAGTTCAGTGATCGGTGTAATAACGGCAGAGAAATTCTTAATGAAACGCCTGTAAAAATTGGCAAACCCCACAAATCTCTGTATATCTTTTTCATTCTTGGGGATGGGCCAGTCCAGCACAGCTTTAATTTTACTTGCGTCCATACTTAAACCTTTAGGAGTTATTACATACCCCAGGAACTGAATTTCTGTTTGTTCAAACTCACATTTTTCCAGTTTAATGTATAGGTGGTGGGTACGAAGGCGCTCAAGAACAATGCAGACCTGTTTTCTGTGATTTTCAAGATTATCAGAAAATATCAGGATATCATCCAAATATGCCACAACAAACTGATCCAGGAGATCCCGTAGTACATCATTGATTAGATGCTGAAAAGTTGCAGGGGCATTACAAAGCCCAAATGGCATTACTAGATATTCGTAATGTCCATACCTGGTTCTGAAAGCTGTTTTCCATTCATCATTTGGTCTTATGCGAACCAGATTATATGCCCCCCGTAGATCAAGCTTCGTAAATATTTTAGCTGAACGAAGTCTCTCCAGAAGTTCAGAAATGAGAGGCAAGGGATAACGGTTTTTAACAGTGATTTTATTAATGTCCCTGTAATCAACACATGGTCGTAGACTGCCATCTTTCTTTTCTACAAAGAATATAGGAGCTCCTGCTGGAGAAGTGGATGGTCGAATAAAGCCTTTGGCAAGATTTTCTTGTATGTATTCACGAAGTACTTTCAATTCAGGCTCAGAAAGGGAGTATATACGGCCAAATGGGATAGCAGCTCCAGGTAGCAGCTCTATGGGGCAATCATAAGGCCTGTGAGGTGGAAGCTGATCAGCATTCTTCTTATCACAGACATCTTCAAAATCCTGATATTGTAGCGGAAGCTTAGTTAAGTTTGTAGAAACCATTTCATTAATTGTTGTGGTAACAGGTGTCGCCTTAGAGGGTTGACAATTCATTAAGCAGTGTTCTGAAGGAAAGGACAAAGTTCTAGTCTTCCAATCAATCTGTGGGTTATGCAGAGCAAGCCAGGGTATACCCAAAATCACTGGAAACTGTGTTGAGGAAATTAGGTGGAAAGATATAGACTCATGGTGATTCACTTCCAGAATCAATTTTAAGGGCACAGTCTCGTGTGTAACCGGGCCTGACGTATCATAGCTGTAGTTGAAATTTTATTATCACCATATTGCAAAGTGATAGGCACCACCAAATGAGGATGTTGAGTCATCATACCTTCTTCACCCTGAGCCAGAGAAAACAAGGGTTGTGTGACAGAATCCAGTTGGTCTGAAATCTTGGATTGGTGTTGAATTTGTGCACCCTCAGCAGTCATAGCTATTGTTCTTTTAGACTTGTTAGGGCAATTGATGGCATAATGCCCTGCACTACCAAAATACAGGCATAAGTTGTGAGTGCGTCGCCACTGTTTTTCTTCATTGGATAATGGCCCTCTTATTAGATCTACCTGCATAGCCTCAGGTTCAGAGTCTGTAGGTGTTTGTGGGGTCGGAGTAGAAATTCTTGAATAGAAAGTAGGAGTAGCACTTGGTTTAAAAAAGCCCTGTCTTTCCAATCTTCTTTCTGAAAGTCTCCGATCAATACGGATAGCCAACCGCACAAATGCATCAAACTCAACAGGAAGATCAACATGAGCTAGCTCATCTTTTATAGCTTCTGAGAGACCCCTTCTGAAGTGGAACCTTTGGGCTGATTGGTTCCAAGTAGTATCAGTAACCCACTGTCTGAATTCAGCAGCATATTCAGCCACAGAGCGCCTCCCTTGATGTAAATGAAGGAGAGTGGCTTCTGCTGTTGCACAGCGATTGGGATCATCAAAAACTAGGCACATGGCCTCAAGAAAGTCTTTTAAATTTCCCAAGATTGGACTGTCCTGTTCCAGAAAAGGGGAGCCCCAGGCCAGGGCTTCATCTTTGAAGAGGGAAAAAATAAATCCCACCTTCTCTCTTTCAGATGGAAAACGGTTAGGTAACATCATGAAATGCAAACGGCATTGATTTAGGAAACCCCTGAATTTTTTGCGGTCTCCTCCAAATTTTTCTGGTAGAGGCAAGCGGGCATCTTGTGCAGGTGTAACAGTAGTAGTAGCAGCAGCCGCAACATCATGTGCCCTGTAGCTGGTAAGCTCACTATGCATTGATCGAACTTCATTTTGCAGTTCAGCTACCTGATCCTGCAGCACTTGAATGGTCTGTGCCTGGGTCTGCATAGTTCTTGCATTAAAAGCAACCTGCTGGGCCAATGCAGAATCTGATCCGTCGGTCTCCATGAATGGGCCAGATTATTCTGTAATGATATTGATGTTACAAAGTTTTGGAGTCCAGTAGCCAGATCAGCAATGTTTTCTGCCAGAGGTAGCCACTCGTTACCCAAGTGGTTGAGCCCCTGAGCCTTGAGTGGCCTTCTGGTCTTAAGCAGAGATGGGAGACTGGAACAGAAAGATGATAATCGTAGTGAGGCAAGCCGAGGTCAGTGGGAAGGAGAAGCAGCAAAGTCAAAACAGTCCAAATTCAGCAACAGGAAGGAGAAACAGGAACACGCTTGATTAGAGAGTACAGGAACCACAATAATCTGGCAAAGGTACAGAGACAGGAAGTGGCTTTTATAGGCCAAGAACCAGACACCTGACCAGACACAGCTGAAGAGAGTTGTCACTGATAACCTTGACTCTACAAGCAATGGTATA